TTTTTCCAGCCACGCCCCGCTACAGTGCCGTGTTAGGGAGATACAGCTCAGGCTAGAGTCAGAGCAAAACGAGTCAAACCAGAGTTGTGCAAGAGGGCTGTTCTATGCAGGTAAGTGGCTACTGTGAGGGCACCGGCACTATCTGTTCAGGCCCGACTCCTCTGCCTCACTCTTCCTAGCCCGCTGTCCACGCCCTTGTTGACCAGAAGATGCCCCAGGAGCACTCCCCTCCAACCCCTTCAACTCCATCTCACGTTGCATTTGAGGAGGATTTTTAAATGGGCAAGCTCAGTCCCTCCCCATGCTTGACATGTTTTAGTGGCTGTCCTTTGTTCCTCAGATAAAGTTCATGTGCTTTATTAAGGCCTTTTCCTATGATCTGTTCCATGCAAACACTAACAGCAACCTCATACCCAACTTGTTTGCATTGCTGAAAGGACACACACTTCTTTGTAGCTCTGGGCAAGTTTACACATTATTCCTTGTGCCAGGTTGCTCTTCCCTTCCTACTGGCTGAACTCCAACCCCTCCCATGACACATGTTCCTCTGTGGAGCCCTTTCACAGTCACTTAGGTTTCCATTCATTAAAGTTCTCCTCCAAAATGCCCTTCCTAAACTCCTTCATCAGCTGGAATTTTTGTGAGTTCAACTCTCTTGTACTGTTGTATTGATCCTTAATACCTAGTGGAGTGCTTGGCACATAGAAGGTACTCGAAGTAACTATAATATGAATTAACAGACAAAAATGCATTCACAAATCAGTTAACCAATTGCTAATCTTCACAGCACCCTCTGCATCAATAGCTGCATTTCACAGATGAAGAACTGAAGTTCGTAGTGCCCAATACACTCATAAAGGGTAATTTTTTAGTAATAGAAGTGGCATTTGTTGCCAAGTTCCTCTTTTTCTGAAATCTTTGCTCTCTCATCAGTACCAGTCCGGCTCTCTGGCTCCCATTTTTTTCCCCCAAATTATCAATATTTACACTGAGAGACAGAGACAGTGTAGTATCATGTGCAAGAGCACAGAATTTTGAGACACTGCAAGATTCATATCTTTAGCTCTAATATTTACTAGCTATGTGGCCTTAGGCTATTTACTTCTACTGGTTTATGCCTCAGTTTCTAAATCTCTAAAATGGGAATAACAATAACTGACAGATAGTGGTGCTGTAAATATAAACTGAATTCATATACTAAGCACTTAGGACAATACCTGGCATATACATATAAGCTGTATATACCAGATCAACCTTATTGTTTCATTTTTGTTATTACTGGTGTAGCTTCATTATTAACACATCAGAAGGGACAGGATTTTCCTGATTAATGGTCACAGGCCAGTTCTTCTGTGATCCAGATATTCAAATCTGACTTTTAATTAGCCTCATCTGAGGGATCCCTTTCTGGAGGCAGAGTCTACAACTTGCACAGATTGCATCAGAACTGGTACCTCAGGCAGGAGAGGGCTGGGCTGTAGAAGACGCCCCTTCTGATTTGCTCACCAGCCCCACCTATCTGACTGGCTTCCTTATCAAGCAAATTATTTTCCAACCAGTGATCCTGAAACAGGAGAAGGGCAGAATGCAATCTGCATGCAGGAAAATAATCCATTGAGCATTGAATCTAGTAGCCACTCCTCTGTTCTTATGCTACATGAAATTTTCCTTTGGGAAAAGGGATGCTTAAAGGATGGTTTTATATGTCTAATGTCAAGCCACAAAGCATAAAGCACCAGCATTGTACTTACTAATGGGAGGGGACTTCCTTAATCACAAACAACAACTGAAGGTAGATTTACATTGTATTTGATGTCTGAGAATACTTATCTCCTGGCCTCGCTAACCTATGTAAACATTTTTCCAAGTAGAATATCACACACCGGGGCCTGTTGGGGCGTTGGGGGCAACGGGAGAGAGAGCATTAGGACAAATATCTAATACATGCAGGGCCTAAAACCCAGATGATGGGTGGATAGGTGCAGCAAACCACCATGGTACATGTATACCTATGTAAAAAACCTGTACGTTGTGCACCTATATCCCAGAACTTAAAATATTTTTAAAAATTCAAGTAAACTAAGTCTTAGAGAAAATTTTATATAGAAAGTTAAAATGAGAAGTAGTCTTTGATTTTAATTTGGTCAGAATATAAATACACAGGCACTCTCCTAGACACTTCTGATGGCAACATAAGTTAGGGTGACTTTTGTAGGAGACAATTTGGACATATGGATTTAATATCTTGAATATGTTAAAATATTTTTCCACATGGGATTCCCAAAGCTCAGAATTTAGAATAAAGGAAATAAGACTTTGCATACAAGTCTCTGAGCAAACATCAGTCCTTCCTACATATTATTATTTTGCCTCATTTATTTACTTACTATTTTTGTCTTCTTTACTGATTTACTTAACATCATACCACATAATAAAATGCAAGTGCAATGAAAGCAGTAGCTTTTTCTGCGTTTTTCTCAGCCACATAACAAGTACTGAGGTTACCTGGTACACAGCAAACATTTAATTTCCTATTAAATCATTCAGATAATGATTGTTGTGATATGCCCGGTAGCAAGAAACAAGTGGGGGCAAAAAACTAAATGTAAAATTTTAAAGTGGACTCAATGAGTATGGGCAAATGATGGAATAGATAAAATCTATCAAAAAGTTATTGGTGTTTTTGAGGAACATTAACTGCCATAGAAAAAAAATCTCAAGACATATTTTTATACAAAAAAAAACAGATCACGAATTGCATAATCTTAACGTTGTCAAAAATTATAACAAAGAGATATAAAATATTGAGTGTTTGTATATGTTGATAGAGCTAAACATAATGTTTATTGTTTCCTTTAAAATTATCCTTTTAAACTATTATAATAAACTGCATTATGTTCTAATGTTTAAATGGCTATTTTTAAAGAGAGGATTTTAAAGATCATGTAGCTACTGAAGAGTGGTTAGAAAATAATTTAAGTCTAAGTAAGAATATATAAATATGTGTTGCATTATTACTATGATAAAAGTTATATTAGTGTACAGATAGAGAATAGACAAAGTTGATTTGTTGAGGCAGTTTTCTTTCTCCTTCCTTCCTTCCTTCCTTCCTTCCTTCCTTCCTTCCTTCCTTCCTTCCTTCCTTCCTCCCTCCCTTCCTTCCTTTCCTTCCTCCCCTCCATGCCTTCCCTGCCCCTCCTCCCCTTTTCTCTTTCTCTTTCTTTCTTTCTTTCTTTCTTCTTTCTTTCTTTCTCTCTCTCTCTTTCTTTCTCTCTCTCTCTTTCTTTCTTTCTCCTTCCTTCCTCCTTTCCTTCCTTTCTTCCTCCCTTCCCTCCTCCCTCCCTCCCTCCCTCCCTCCCTCCCTTCCTTCCTTCCTTCCTTCCTTCCTTCCTTCCTTCCTTCCTTCCTTCCTTCCTTCCTTCCTTCCTTCCTTCCTTCCTTTCCTTCTTTTCTTTTCTTTCTTTCCTTCTTTCTTTTCTTATTCTAATTATATGAGTAGCTTTACTAAAAATACACAGTTGGTCGGGTACGCTGGTTCACGCCTATAATCCTAACACTTTGGGAGAGCGAGGTGGGTGGATTGCCTGAGCTCAGAAGTTCAAGACCAGCTTGAGCAACACGGTGAAACCCCATCTCTACTAAAATTTAAAAAAAAAAAAAATTAGCTGGGCATGGTGGCATGCGCCTGTAGTCCCAGCCACTCAGGAGGTTGAGGCAGGAGAATTGCTTGAATCCACGAGCTAGGGGTTGCAGTGAGCCAAGATCACGCCACTGCACTCCAGCCTGGGTGACCGAGCAAGACTCCATATCCCCAAAAAAGCTATCTCATTAGCCATTTGCCAATTGTTTCAGAAAACTGGAGTTGGGTATGATCTCCTTTTCCTCAGATACTAGCACCTGTTTAAGAAACTGTCAGACCATTATTTACTAACAATACACTCAAGTATTTCACGTTGTCCCTCCACCATTACGCCTACAAAAGAACTCAAAGCATGCACACTGATGAGCAATCGATGTACTCTATTCTTAGTTGGATTTTGCACTTCAGAGAACTTCAGCTTTAATCCAACGTTCTCTAAGGAACAGAAATAATGAACACTTTTGAGGTAATTATAATTTTTGTCTCTCTGCCTTCAGACACTTTTGATGCATTTTATTGTATTTTAAATGTTTCAGCATTTGTTTATTCTGCTAAGTCTTTAACAGGAAAATAAATAGCTAACATAAAACAAAGGGAAGTCAGTTTCCCTTGGGTACAGAAACAAAGTCAACCTTATGCAGGAATTGAATTATCAATCTGTGGTGAGTCCAAGCCTACAAACCCTAAAGTAGAAAGTGAAGAAAGTAGAAAGTCTTCATGTTTTATAGGTTATTCCAATTTTAATTATTTAAAAAACGCTATAGAAACCATGTGACATTTTACAGAATTTGTGATGGCTTGCTATTGCAATAATCCTGCATATGGCAGAAATTCAACTCATATATGACAATCGAATGTTCTTTTACATATGCAAAAAGACAGTCAGCCATGAGATTAAGAAAAAAAGAGCAAAACTTTTCTTTGCATTTTTCTTGATATTTTCTACATTTTCGAATTCCAAGTCTTACCCAAATCTTTCTCTTTTGCATTTTATTCAGAAAGAAAAGAATTAAAAAAAAAAAAAAGGCATGGTAACAACCGACGTTTAAATTTAGACTACTTTCAACTGAATTTTCTTCCCCAGTGAACTCCTGAGGAGCTTCTTCCTATTCCCTCACCCATGGCAGGACTGCAGAGTCTGCTCGCAAGTTATTTAAGCAGATAGCTGAGTGCCAGTGCACTTCTGTGCATTCCATATTTTCTCGTTTTTGTCTAGTTTATTTTCTTTCTCTGTCATTTTTCTTTATCTTGTCTCTTCTTTCATTCCATGAATCATTTGCTTTCATGAGCTACTTATGAGCCCAGAGGCACTATTTGCTGAGGAAAAGTCATTCAAATACTGACTACTTATTGATCATACCTTGAGGATCTTGCACATAATCTCATAAACTGAGAATGTTTTCTCTGCTCTCGTCCAGTCCCAGGTGGTCACCTTTAAGAGATAAGAAAATAATGTTTAATTTGTTTTAGAAAGTTATTTACCACTGTATTTGATTTGCATAATATAGTGAAAAATAAGAAAAATTTTCACAGATGTATCTAGTCTCTCATCTGTGAAGCTATGCTCATAAAGGACCCTACATAATGCTTTTGTTTCCTCTATTCCATGCTTTGTCACCATTTGTCTTATGCTTTCAGCAAACGATTTATGCTATGTGTAACAGTTCTCATTTGTGCAGTGTCCTTATGTGTCTTAAATAATATATGTATTGTCTACCTATAAATACTAAGTATTTACATTCTGCACTCATAATTTTTTTCTCAATTTACCACTAGTTAAATACAGAGAATACTAGATCTCAGCACAGCTCTAATTTTTTAAATATACATCATTTATATTAAGAAATTTCAAGATGACTGTGACATTGCAAACATACCAAAAGCGTAATGCAGTTATTTCACTTAGGTTGGGAACATATATTTAACTGCCCTGTCAAATAAATTATTCAGAGTAGGAATAGAGTAAAATATATAAATATTAATTTTTCCTCTGTCTTCCTAGTGCTTTAAACTATGTAGAGACAGACATTTAAAACAGCAGCAAATCAGACCTGATGATTTCTAAATCCTATGTATTATTAGACCTGCAAGTGACTGGTCGGGTATTTGGTATTTATATTCAATAAATATTTATTAAGTGTCTTCTGAGCTACAAGGTACATGTTTCCAAAAGGAAGACTGGAGGTGCAATAGGTATCTACACAAATCTACTACAAATCTCAATAACTAGGATATAGAATATAATAGAGGATGAAAATGCTATTGATTTTATTTAGAGAGACCAGTACAACATAGATAAACATAGTTTGACTGTCATAAATGACAGCTTACCAGAATGTATTTATGATGTTTGCCAAGGATGGAATCCTCTAATTTAAACTTTGAACACCATGAGAGTTTACATCATCTTATGGAATTACCACTATGGTGAGATAGACTTAATAGTGGATAGATAAGGTGCTATCATTTTGAGATTTCCTTATTACTCTTTGCTAATAATAAATTGCTAGTAATTAAAAGTGCTGAATAAATTTAAAAGAACTTTCAAAAGATCCTTTGAAAATAAGAGTTTAGTAAACATGTTCATTCATGCATAGCTCTAAAACAGTTTACTCTTTTTAATTTCACTTTTGGTATATTCATTTCTTTAAATTATATTCAATAAACAAAATACACTGACATATGCTTGAAAATGTTTCTTAAAATCTCCTTTCCCATGTCTTCATGAGATTTTTAATGGCATTATATTTTGATCCATTATTTTATAGGTTCACTATTTATAAAGAAGTAAGTTCCAGACTTTTCAAGGGTGATAAAGTAAATGTTTAATGTCAGAACATACATTTTTAGTAAGTTAAATCAGATAAACTGATTTCTATTTTTTTCTCTATATTATTCTTAAAAAATATTGATAGCATACTATTTGGTACTGTTAAGTTAGTGTCAATCTCTTGTGATAATATGGAAAAGAGCAATAAATTTGGATAAAACACTTACTGGAGGTGCCAGAAACTTGTAGAGACATGAGCCTCTCAGGGCCAAGAAGGTCGGGGAGTACACTCTGTCCTGAAGTGGGTCTTGCTCCCGGGCTTCACACCAGCCCATGTAGACAATCTGCAAGAAAATGGAATACAATCAACTGTCAAAAACTTCTTATTTTAATATATCTTATGTCTAAAAAATGTTTAGATGTAAATATTAAAAATATTTTAGATATTTTTTCATGTAGTATTAAAAGCTCACATAAAATTATCAAATTAAATGATGAAAAAAGTACACTAAACCAGATTTACCTTCAGTAAATGAATGTAAACCTCTCATAAGAATTTCTTATACATTTCCATCAGCATTTATCAAGTGTATACTTATGCCATCCAACCTGCCATGGATTATATTTCCCACTCTACCAATTCTTACAGAAAAAAAAAAAAAGACTTATTTGTAGTAGAATTCATTGATGCATCACACTAGTTTACCAATTGCTGACATTTTATTAATTGGGAATGTGCTTTAATACACAATGTTGAAGTGAGTAAAGAAAGTAAATCAGAGAGACATCTTATGGCATTACCACTAGGGCGGTGGACCACTTCTCCTCTCTGTGTGACAGGGGAGAATAATAAATGTCCTCCTTTTAATCACTGATCTTAGATGAATACAATTTATGCTAGAGTATTCATATGTCAAATGGCATTGAAACCAATTCTCTAGCGTCTAGTGGTTAAATAAAGGCAGATCGATTTCCAAAGATTTGGTGAGATGAGTCACTCCTCTCTTTCTATGATCTGATTTTCATGAGAGTCAAACAAATACATAAACAATAAATGAGTATGACATTTCTAGCAACATATTCATGTGACATTCCGTTTCCTTTTCATCACAACTCTATGTAGGAGGATTTACTTCCCACTTCATATAATTTATGTTAGCTTTATGGTTGGCAGAGTTAACTCCTCCTCCTAGATAATTTTTTTCTTTGTTTGGCTCATGAGACCTTCTATTATCAATAGGATATTCATGAATGTATCACGAGTAAAGTTAGCATAGCATCTTGTGCTTTTGCCATTACCATGAAAAACTCATACCCAGGATAGGAACAAGTGCAGCAGACCAGAGTTCAGCTTAACACCTGGACCAAGCCCAGCTAGCTCCAAACTGGTGGCTAATGACAATCAGGTCACTTTCAGAAAGAAAGAAATACTTATTGTTGTATTACAGCTAGTAAGGGGGTGGTTTGTTGTGCAGCATTAATGTGGTGACAGTTGACTAATAACAATGCAAGACTTTGAAACACAGGATTTAAAATATTACTGTCGTCTATTCATGGATCCCATCTTCTTTCCATTAATTATGTTTACTTTCTAAAATAATTGGATTATTCACCATCTCATTATCTCAGTTTGTCTTACAATAAGCCTCTGAGCTATAAAGTCCCTGAGTTAACAAATTAAGGAATTGTGATATAAATAAATTAGCTTAATAAATGAAACAAACTTGATACAAGTTAGAATTGGAATTTGAACCAAGATGCCTTGCTCTTTTAATTATATAATGTATTCTGTAATCTTTTAGATTACTAACATATGCATTACATAGAGACTGGTTAATAATAACATAATAAGAACCAGCTATAATAACTGACAATTTTGTATTGCTTATATGGTCAGGTATAGTTGATCAGATAGCAACACAGTTTTGAAAGAGTAAATGAAGCTTAATAGATAACCATCCCATAAAGAAAAGTATGACTTAGTTTAATATATATTTAATGTGTCAGAATAATTACATGAGTTAAAATAAAAGGATATTATAGTTTACACTTCCAGTAGTTGCATATTAGAGAATATAGACAACCTACCGTCTAATGTTACCTTAGGAAACTGGAAAAGAATATGCTTAAAGCAACTAGATATTTTACAAGCTATTAAAGGACAACCAGGAAAAATTTATAGTAATATGAAAATTGAGAGAGGTTAATCATTGATACAAATGTGGGGTCAACTTTTGCCATAGGTATGCTTTCTACACAGAAATGTCACATGAGATAATCAGCTACATTGGCCAGTCTCACAAGTTTGGATCAAAAGGTTAAAGTCCAGAATCCTCCACATGTGGAGGCCTTAGTAAACATGCTCTGCTTTTAGTTAGGATCAGAAATGTCTGCATCCTAATTACAAAGTTAAGGCAGAAGTCATCAAGCCCTTGCCAGGACTGGAACTCATATTTAAGCCATTGAGATGATCCAGAAAATGTCAAGCTTGAAATGGTTTATGATGATCCTGGCATTCTCTCAGGCTCCTGACTCAAGAAAATGGAATTTTTTTTCTGGATGACAATAATACTTATGTCAATATATTTTCATAAGAACTGTTTCTTGGAAGAGAATAAAAATAACCAAGAATATAAGGAAATAAAACTTCATGAAGTACATCAGGAGAAAAACATGAAGAATAAAAGCAATATATAGCAGAACTGAATATTTAGGCATTTCAGATATTGGAATTTTCTAATACAGGCATTAATTTACCTAGGTTTGCTATGTATAAGAATATAAGATACAAAATTGAAACTTCATCAGGGTATATCTGAGATAATAGATTATAAAATGTTCCATTTAGAAATTAGACAAATAAATATTTATGAAATATAAAGTTGGGTTTAACAACATATTAAAAAGCAGCTAAAGAAATAATTAGTGAATAGAAAGATGGCTCAGTAAAAATGTCTAGAATGATGATTGGAGAGACAAAAGTTTGGAAGAAACATATATGAGAGTAAGAGAAAAAGGTGTTACACTGAGAAGTATAAAACTTCAAATTTGAGTCCCAACCCAAGCACAGCAAATAAAGGGAATGAACAGAAGATATATTGAAAGAGATGATGGCTAAGAATTTTTGCAAATAGATAAAAAGGAGTCAATACACGGATTCAGAAGACAAACAAAACAAAAGCTAGATAAATATAAACACACAGAGGCACTTCGGCATGTGTCTTCAGAAAACCAAAGACAGCAAAGAGCATAGTAAAAGGGATATGAAGACAGGAAAAACGTGTACATTAACGACTGGTTTAATAGAAGGCAGATGATTTCTAGTATATGTTTCCGCATTCACTCTCCTGTGATAGCAAAATCATTTTGCTTCTGGAAAACTTTCACTTTATGCCTATGAAACAATCAGAGTTAAAGAGGCAAATACCATCTGCATTTTACTATGAAAATAGTTTTGACCTTCTGGATCCTTGAAAAGTATCCAAAGAACATTCAAGGGTCTACAAAATACTCTGAGCCACTGTTGTAAAGTAAAAACTTTAGCAAATGTTATGATCTTTCAGGTAATCACTTACTATAAGTGAAGAAAAATAACTATGTTAGTGAAATATATAAAACTTCAAAATAAACATACAGAAAAAAATAATTTGTTTTATAATCAACCTAAAAGAAAAGGAGATTAAAAAGAAACAAATGTGATGGAAAAATATAAGGCACAAGGTAAGGTGGTGGAATGTAATCAAAACAAGGTACTAGTTATACAGCAGGTAAATAGAATAAATGCAATCTTGCAAAGATTTTTTTTTTTTTTTTTTTTTTAGACAGGGTCTCACTATCAACCATGCTGAAGTGTGGGGGTCACAGTTCACTGCAGCCCTAACATGATCTCCCCAGCTCAAGTGCTCCTCCTGCCCCAGCCTCCTGTGTAAGACTACAGACGCACACACCACCACTCCTGGCTAATTTTTGTATTTTTTGTAGAGACAGAGTTTAGCTATGTTGCTCAGGCTGGTCTTGAACTCCTGGCTTCAGCGATCTGATCATCTAGGCCTTCTAAAGTGCTGGGATTGCAAGAATGACCCATCATGCCTGGCTTCTTATAAAGTTTTTTACACTACACTAAAAAACAAACAAACAAACAAATAAATAAATAAATATAAAAGCAAAAGAAAAAATCTATATTCTGTCTCTGTAAGGCTTATCGAAAACATAAAAGTACAGAAAATTTGTGAAGAAAAGAATAAAAAAATTATCTCAGAGACCAAAAATCAATTGATTTAGCAATACTGATATTAGAAAATGTAGATCTAAGGCAAAAATCATTTCTAGAAATAAAAAAGGACTTTTAGTAATGGTAGTCTCAAACCTATCAAAAAGACATAATAATGCTTAGATTTTTTCATATCTGATAACATACTATTTATTTATTTATTTATTTATTTATTATTGTTTTTGTGACTGTCTCACTCTGTCATCCAGGCTGGAGTACAGTGATATGATCTCAGCTCACTGCAACCTCCACCTCCCGGGTTGAAGTGATTCTCCAGCTTCAGCCTGCAGAGTAACTGGGACTAAATGTGCCCACAACCAACCTCAGCTAATTTTTGTATTTTTCTTAGAGGTGGGGTTTCACCATGTTGACCAGGCTGGTCTGAAACTCCTGACCTCAAAAAATCTAGCTACCTCTGCTTCCCAAAGTGCTAGGATTACAGATTTGAGCCACTGTGCCTGACCTGATAACATACCTTTAAAATATATGAAACAAAAAACTGATGGAACTACAACAAAAGAAATGAACAAACTGATAATTGTAGAACAAGTTTAGCATAATTCATTGAATAACTAATAAAATAAGAGTTAAAAATCCATCAAGCCATAGAGGTTTTGAACAATTCAATTAATACAATCTGCTTAATTTATTATGTTTAAGACACTGGACTCAACAAAAATTGAGTACAAATTATTTTCAAGTGCACTGGAAATGACCAGATGTGATTACACCTTTATAAAAATTATATCATTATATTCAGGTAATAAAACAGGTATTAAATAAATTTTGCCATTCAAATGACATGTGGTGCCCTAAATAGAATGAAATGACAGAGCAATATTCACAAAAAATTAGAATACCCCCCTCCAAAAGATTTGAAAATTAAGCAATATACTTCCACAGATCAAAGGAGAAATCAAAAATGAAGTTAAGGCGGGTTGTGGTGGCTTACGCTTGTAATCCCAGCACATTGGGAGGCTGAGTGGGGAGGATCACCTGAGATCAGGAGACTGAGGCCAGCCTGACCAACATGGAGAAATCCTGTCTCTACTAAAAATACAAAAGTAGCCAGGC